GCCCACCGCGCCTGGCAGCACCGGGCCGGAGCTGGCAGCCCCAGGCTGCAGGTGAGCCCTAGCGAGGCCGCGCTTCGTCCCGTGCCGGTGACATTAGTAACAGTCCCTTTCCCCAAAGTTGCGCCTGGCTGCGTGCTCCCGGGCCGGAGGAGTTCCTTGTGCCAGCGCCCTCGCTGCCTGCCCTGCCTGCAAGCAGGGACCTTCGGGGCTGTGTGGACTGCCAGCTGCTCCCGCAGCCCCGCGGTGCCATCCCCGTGCGGGCAGCCCTCGCCTCCGCTGCTCCGTCCGGCTCTGGGCAGGGAGGTGCTGCTTCACACCCACAGCAGCGAGGAGGTGCGTGTTCTCTGTGTTACCTCTGCTTTTTCCAGCCGGTCACCAGGGCGGATGGTCTGGCCCGCTGTGTCCAGTGCTGTTTTAAGAGAGCAGAAAGGAACAAAATAATCAGGTTCAGTGTTTCTGCTGATTTCTCTGACGTGTTCATCAGGTGCTGCAGGTGCAGGGGGATGCAGGGCCCACCAGGCGTGGGGAGCAGTGAGCAGAGCCTCCCCGTGCTGATGCACCGTGGACAGCCCAGGTCGGCTCGGAGGTGTGGGGAAATCAGCTGTGGTAGGAGACAGAGCCCACAAAGTGAAGACCCTGTTTCTCGTTACTGGTTTCCTGAGCTTTTATGTAACCCTAATGTTTCACTTTCAAAAATAGAAAGATACTTCTCCGAGTTGTACGTTGCAGGAGATAGTGTCTCCTTCAAGAAATAAACTCTCCTTTTGACTGGGAATAAAACAGACAAGGACAGCAAGCCAATGAGCAGGCTTACACCCTCTTCACTCCATCCATCTCACTTCTCTCCCTGGAGAGGCCAAGACGCTTTGGGCTTTAATTGCAGCAAAGGAGGTTTGAGTTGGACATAAGAAAACTTTCTAACCGTGAAGACAATGAAACACCGGAACAGATTGCTTGGGGAGATTGTGGCAGCCCTATCACTGGAGGAGTTTAAAAATAAGATAAGCAGATGTCTGCCAGAAGTGCTCTGGGTAGAGCTGATGCCCTCCCGGAGGAGGGGATGATTCAATGTCCTCTTGGAGCCCCTTCCAGCCCTGTCCTCTGCATTTCCATGGCCAGAATGAGGGACACTGTGCCCTTTCCCACTGTAATCATGAACTCTTTTTCACCCTGGACACTTGCCACTTCCCTCCTCCTTGCCGAGCCTCCGTGCCAGCACCATTAGTGAAAGCTGTTATTGAAGAAAAAATACAGGCTCCAGCATCCATCACCAGCAGCACAAGCTGTCGGTGGATTGCTGTTTGACATCGTAGCGCTTGCAGCCTCCTAAATCACACGGCAAAGCCTCCGCTGGAGGAACATGTCTGGCTTATGTTCTCCGTGGTGGTGTTTGCAGCCCTGCTAATGGGGCCTGGGATGCCGTCAAACCTCCAGACCCAGAGAAATGTGGGGGGCCGCCTGCTAGAGAAGATACGCTTCACCTTCTGCCATCCAGCTGCTGGTGATTTTTTCCGCTGGTCAACAATGACATCCCACCTTGAAGACAGGACACGGTGCTGCTAACTGAGCTCCTGTTGGTTCTGTTGCAGAGGAAGCGTACCTCATGGTGATCACATCACCGGGTGCCTGTCACACATCTTTTA